TCTCTATATTTGCAAAGTTGTATGCCTGCAAGCCAAATAACCCATATAATATATGTGTGTGTCCTCGATGCTTTTCAATTGAACTTATATTGGGTGAGCAAGGTCGATCGACAGTTGACATGTCTTCTGCAGTGACCACACTTTCCCTCCAGAGCTCCCAGTTTAGACCAGCTAGGTTGCATCTCAGCCGGTTCCAGCATGGCATTGAAGCCGCCGGGCGCTTCATGATGCTTGCCAGCAGCGCCCAACAAGCGCGCACATGAGCTCAGCCGATATAGGCTAGCTAGGTCATGGATATAATGTATCATGTTGTGCGTAAATTAAACATTTTGCAAATATACAATACATGCGCATGTTTGCCATGCAAGCCTATTTCGCCTCGATCGATGTCCCACCCCCCCACTAGAGTAAATCGTACGTACCTTTCCTGATACTACTTGGCCTCTCCTGAGGACAACAGCTGAAGCCCAAGATGTATACCACCATGGTACATCTTTTGTCCGCCTGTGGTTGAGATTGGCCCGAATATCATTGAGGCCTGGTTTGTTTTGGTTCGTCGATCTTCTAAGTCGATCATGTAAAAAGAGAGTCAGCATCTTAGCTATTAATTATATCATTCATGCCTGCGTGCAAGTGCACGCAAGTGCATTATGTGTGTAGAGAAGTTGTAGTAAAGTTGTTGACCTTCTTTAAAATTGTACATTTGAGATTATTCTTTTAAACATGCAGTTCAATACCTGTTGCGAGTTGCATTCCAACTGGGCGAGGCAAAACAAACAAGAGTGGTATGTGCGCCCCAAGCTTCATGCGCCTTGGCATAATATTATAAGGCACGATACTAGCGGTGAAGGTTGCCATGTTGCATGGCTGTCACTTAATTAGCTTTTTCACTGGCCTAGGCATTTATGCATATTTGCAGCATTGTTCTCAATCACAGAATCTTGGCAGGAATGTCCACAACATCGATCAAGAAACGGAAACATTGTATATACCCCAGCATTCATACGAGTTCCAATTACTGGAACTGATTGAGGATCTAATCCCAGATATTGGCACTGCTTTGCTGACGAAGATAGCATGGCCTGGGTGAAGAGCCACTCTGAAAAAATATTGTTTCTTTTTTGGGGGTGTTTTTGGTCATACATGAGAATAGTATAACAGATTAAAAACAAGATCGGCTTTCGAGTGCAGTGGGCCCAGGCACATATCTGAAAGCGCATGCCCTTCACAGAGTTCGCTGGATAACACGTTGTGCTAGGCTCCGGAACCTTTTTGTGCAATAGTACTTACTAGCTATGCAACTCTTTTGACTGACTTAATTGACAAGATCTCTGGACTAGATTTGGAGATGGTTGTTGATGGGTCTTTGTCTGCCCAATCATCTCAACTTAGGATTGCAGCTACTAAGATCAAAGTGAGAATGTTTCTTAGCTGATTGAGTGCTTCACAGTTGTGCAACTGCCTGCATCGGAGAGTTAGTGTTTGAAGGATACGATATAGATCGATCGATCTATGATCTATTAATGTCATCTGCCTTTGCCCGCCCAGGTTGAACAAATCGGTGGCGGCACGCATCGCCAAGGGCAAAGCGTGAAAAGTTACCAATGTGGGAGCATGGGCCGGGCATGAAACCATGAGACCAAGCAACCGTGATCCACCTCGACCATTTCCAAAATAGTACTTCATGAAAGTGCTATTGTTTAAATCGCCTTTTGAAGCCTGGGGTATATATATAGTTGTTGATTACTGCATGTATATAACTTGTTTTCGGTGACAATGAGGGGACAGTGCTGATTGGCTCATCATACTCTCTATTGGTGGTATTGGTGGTGGAGATGTATTTGGATGATCTACCTAGTGACGTCCACAGGTTTCGGGTTCATTCGCAGTGTTTTTGAAGGATTTACGATTTGTATAAGGACAGATTGGGGACTTTTGTTGCTCGTTTGGGGGTGGACAGTAGTAGTAGTAGTAGTAGTAGTAGTAGTAGTAGTAGTAGTAGTAG